TCAGCATCCTGCCCTGCCTGCTCCAGCTTCCCAGCTCCAGGCTTCTCCCTCCAGCCAGCCTTTGGAAGAGTCTCTGGAGAGCTGTAGGTGCTCCTCCTGCTCCAAGCCTCTCACTCAGCCCCTGGAGTATCTTGGCCCAGTGGATTTGTGATCCAGCTCCTCCAAAGCTGGCATTGCCAGAGGTCTCTCCGTTCTTCCTCCTTGCAAACAGGAACTCTCTTAGGTTTTCCAGGTTTGGGTGTTGGTTTTTGAGCTGGATTTTCCACCTCCCCAAATCCAACGGGCTTTTAGTTGAAGCATTTAAGAAATAAACAATAATAAAAAAGAGAGCTGTGACTATTTCCATCCTCGGGCCCGCCCCTGAGCCCCTGGGCACACCCATCCCTCTGTGGATGCACTGTGTGCTCCCAGTGCATAGGGCCCCCTTTGCTCAGGGATCAGAAGCCAAGGCAGAAGGGCTGGATGAGGCTGGGAGCTCCAGGAATGCACCTTTCCCTGCCTGGCACAGAGGTCCCTGAACTGGCTGAGACCTCCAGCAGTCCCCCTGTGTGCAGGGGCACTCCCAGAGCCCCTTCCCTGCAGGCTGCTCCCTGGAAGACAGATGTTACAGATGTTTGAGCTCCTAGGATGTGTGTGCATGACACAACTTGTTCCTTACCCTTGTGAGCTGCAGCGTGAGCAGGGAGATGCTCAGTTTGTCCTGCTGAGTGCTGAGAGCCCACCAGGTGCCTGAAGCTCTAAAGGTTTTCAACAGCTGGACGAGGGAAGGACTCTGCTGGTGGGCACAGGCCTGGCTGTGTGTGCAGCCAGCTGGGGCTGGTCCAGCCCATCCTTCGTGGTTGCCACCCAGCTCCTCCTCCAGCTTCTCCTGCATGCAGGACCCAGAGCAGCCGAGCTGCTCCTTGGTCCAGACACCTCAGCTTGTGATTCCAGCCCCCTGGAATCTCCCTGCCCCATCCCAGGGCAGCTCCCTGCCACACAAACAGGCTCCTTACTGCCAGGTGAGCTTTCCAAGGGGCTGGGGTGTGATCCCTGGTTCCTGTTTCTCCACGAGCTGGAGCTCCTCACTATGATGACTGCAGCAGTCACACTGGCTCCCTCCCTGCTTCTTTGCCCTCAGATCTCACTGATGGCTGTGGGAAATATTTTTTTCCATTCAAGAAAAAGAGGGAAATGTGGGAAATGAATTTGTAGAGAATTCTCGAAGCCTCACAGAAGGCTCACATAGTATGCATCTATACAAACCTTGAGATAAAAAATATTAACTTAGAAATACCATAGAATAAGACAGACATTATTAAGAGAGAAATAGAACTAGAAACAAGTTCCAAAAATAACCTTACAAATAAAACTAGACACTTTAGAGAAAGAGAACTATAAAAGATACATTGCCGTGAGACCCATGAAGAGTAAATTTAAGTTACTAGCTTTAAGACATTTACAATAGTGTAACATAGACCAAGGAATGCTTATAATGTATTATAATTAAGAAATAATTAGCTTCTGATTATAACAGCATGAATTATAACATCTGTATTGTCTCACCCTTCACATAAGACTGAAAATAAAATAAAAGTTTTTAAAACACCTCTCAGTTACCCCAGCTCTAAGTCAAAAAAAAAAAAAAATTTAATCTAACAATGGTAGCCAGATGCACCAGGTCTTCCTGTGGCTGAGAATTCTCCAGGCCTCAAAACTCACCTTTTTTCAATATCATACTCTCCTTTTTTACTGCCTTCCCTCCATTATCAGTTTCTCAAGTTTTACAATCCAAGGCTGTAAAAATCCACTTCTCAGAGTTATTTATCCCCCCTGACACGCTGCCAGTGCTGGATCCACATTTCCCCCTCTGCTGTGCAGTCACTCAGGCACCATGCACAGAGATTTTAAAAGCAGACAAGCCACTCCTTGTGGAGCAGGGAAGGACAAGGGGATCCTGTCAGACTAAGCCTTTTTCTGACTCAGAGGTGGGGCAACTGAGAGGTGTTTCAAAAACTTGTATTCCATTTTTAGTCTCATGCGCAGGGCGAGACAATACAGGTGTTATAACTCATGCCATCACAATCAGAAGCCAACTATTTCCTAATTACAGTACACTGTGTTTCTTGGCCTATTACTTGGCTTAGGTTTCTTTGTGAGGCTAGCTAAGGCTAGCAGGGAAGGGCAGGGGGATCCCACGAGCAGGAAGGGCTGGAACACAGCAGAGCACGGGGAGCTGAACCTGTCCCTGCAGCTCCTCTGTCCCCACAGCCTCCAGGCACCTGAGAGCCACAGGCTCAGCACTTCCCAGAGCAGGGAAAGCCCCTGGAAGCCCTCCTTGGCCAGCCACGCTGCAGGCACAAACCCACCCATGAGAACCACGCTTCCCATCCAGCCTCCCCTGGGGGCAGGCCAGGAGGCAGCCACAAGTGGCTAAAAGCTCTCCCTAAAGCCTCAAATCCCAACCCTTTGTTCTGCCCCTCAGTCAGCGTGAGCTGGCCAGACACAGACAGAGCTGGCCCATGGCAGGGCAGAGGTGGCACTGGGGCTTTGTGGGGACTTCAGTGGCTCCTGTGTGGGCTGGGGCAGAGCAGGCAGCAGGATCAGCCTGTTCCTCAGGCAGTGGGACACGCCTCTGGCACAGGGACAGGACAGGCAGCTCAGCATCCTGCAAGGAAAGGCCAAGGGGACACCAAGCAGTGGTGAGAAATGCAGCTGACAGAGGAGATTTGGCTGGGTTTGTAACTGCACCTTCTCCTTGCCAGGCTCCAGGCAGACCCCAGCTGCTCTCCTAAAGGGATTCTCCAGAGAGGAGAGGCAGAGAAGAGTGGGACATCCCCAGAAATAAACCCTGCATTAACACAGACACCAAAAGGTCCAAGCTGACACCAGCTCTCACTTCTATGACTGACCCAAGAATTTCGCAGCACCAAGAAATCCAATAGAGCATTCCCTGACTAAAAATAGGCCCAGCTAATTAACAAACCTTGTTAAAAGGGACACCCAGCAGCAGCATAACCTCTGCTCTGGTTACAAAGGGATGATCAATATTGACTGTCTCAAGAGCAGCAAATCCTTCAGATGGCTTCAATGTGAGCAATGCTCAGCTTTGAGACTCAAAGAACCTCCTCTGCTTCCTGCCCTGGGCTTCTTTTACAACCATTTAATGCCATGTGTTGTTAGAGAGCTCAGCCCTTCCTAACCACTGTAATAAACACGTATCAATCTCTTTCAAATTTAATAAATAGAGCCCCTAAAAGCTTTGCCTGGGTCTGCTTTTCCCATTCAATTAATAGAACACAACACCAAAGGGATGAATTATTGAGGAGAAACACGAGCCTGGGCTTTCACAAACGCTCTACTCCAATGGCAATTTATTACAAATTAATAGTGTGCTGCACTTCCTCCTGTTTCCTGGCAGCTGGGAATTGGTCAGGCTACACCAGGAAACTTGGGAGCTGCCATAAAACACTGCAGTCCTGAGCTCAAATCATCCTGGAGTGCTTTGGGTGGGAAGGGAGCTCCAAGCTCCAAGTGTCTGGACAGCAGGATTGTTGGGGGTCTGTGCAGGGCCAGGAGTGGGACTGGATGATCCCCTCAGTCCTTTCCAGCCCAGGATATTCTGCACTTCCAGGATTCTAAGAGGACCCCAAGGTCTGGAGAGTCCCAGTCCCACAATCACCTTTTCTGCAGCTGCATTCTTGCAGCATTTGGGCACCCCTCACTCCATTTTGGGTAACTTTTGAATCCCATTCCAACCCCAACACCTTCCACTGTCCCAGGCTGCTCCAAGCTCTGTCCAACCTGGCCTTGGACACTTCCAGAGATCCAGGGGCAGCCACAGCTGCTCTGGGTAACCTGTGCCAGGACCTCAGCACACTTGCAGTAAATAAATAACTAAAGTGGGGGTGGAACAGGGGAGAAGGAGGAGGGATGCACAGCTGACAGAAGAACAGGAGAAACCTTTGCTTTGAGGGGTTTTTACTCCTGGGACGGCACAGTTTGTATGGGAAGGATGGCTCTTTCCCATCCTTGCAGCACACTCCATGGGCAGGGCTGGCAGCAGGGCTGGAATCCCAGATAAGCATCTCTGGGCTGACTATTGTGCAAGGATAATAATTCACATTTGCACATTCAGAACTGCAGCTGCTCAGAAGGGAGATACCCAGATTTCTCACACCCTGCCCATAACAACATGCCTGGCCCAAAATGACCCTCTGACACTCTGAGAGAAATCCCAAACTGAAAAAAAAACCAACTGAAAAAACACCTTTTCTGCAGCAAAGTGGTTCAAATTGCAACCAGCCAGAAAGATACTTCACATTTCACCAAGCTTCTGCTCTGGAAGCACTTGCAGGAAGCCCTCAGGAGCACGTGGGGATTGTCTGTTGGAAAATCATCCTGACTCCAGCCAGAGAGTTCAAAGTTCTGGTTTCATGTGCTGCTTGCTAAAAACCATCTGAGCATGTTGATCCTCCAAACACTTGAAGGTTATAAATGCATTGTAAAATCATCAATGAATTGGTAAAGGCATGGTAATTTCCATTCCAGTGGAAGGTGCCAGGGATGGTATGAGATGAGTGTTAAGGCCCTTCCAACCCAACCATTCCAACCATTCCAGGACTCCATGCTCAGTGCCAGTGTTTGGAAGATGTCACAGACAGCAGCACACAGGCAGCTCCAGCAGCATGGCAACCACTCTACAAGAGCAAGAACCCCAAAAAACACAGGTGAGAGACACCAAACCAGTGACATCTCTCCCAGTGATGTTTCTTTGTAGGGAGGAACTTTCCTGATAAACAACAAAACATGGAACCACCACCATGACTGCTGTACCACCTTTTTCAACCCCTGTTAAATGTCCCCAACCTCTCCTTTCTCCTCTCAGCACAGAGCAGGAACTCTCAGAAAACCAAACCCAGATGGTTTTCCCCAAGCTCTCTGAACAGTCTTCTCAGCTCAGCCGTGGTGTTAAATTTGGCCTGTTCCCATCCTCACTCAGAGCACAGCAGGAAACTCACCTCCATTTTTGATGGCTCTGATGCCCCGATGGAAATCTTCGAAGCTGATAACTCCCAATCCACTGGGATCCAGGTATTTTGTTAGGTCCTTTACCTGCAACCAAAAAAAAACCAGAGTTCTCTATGGAATCCTGGCAGGAAACAGCAGCTTCCAGCACAGAAACACCTTGCAACCAACTTTTTCCTCTTTATCAGAAAGACTTGAGAAAATAACAATTTCTTGAGCTGACCCGTAACTGTGTCGGTTCTCCTTGAAGGGAATGTTAAGTAATCAGTTCAAATGGGTTAATTAGGACTTGGTTGGTGTTGAAACTATTGCTTAGCCTTGGAGCAGCACTTTGGGCAGTGTCTCCTGTAACATGGGCCTGCTTTGCCAGGGATTTGTTTATTTTTATGGGTTTTAAAGAGGTCCTGCCTTAATTGGGAAAGTCTGTAATAGGCTGCCTGGTAGGAGGGCCCAATTAAGGGGATTCAGTGATAATGAACTGCTCCATGTTATAAATTTAGGCCGTATAATTGAAACATTTTCCCAATTAGACAATGCCTGAGGGGGAGGGAATCACGTCAGCTGGCCAGGGTTGGGATGGGGGTGCTGCAGCAAGGGGCACTCTGAGACCTGCTGAGGATGGTCTGGGACATTCAGAGAGAATGAGAAAAGGGCAAAACCACAGGGCCCAAAGTGTCTCAAAAAGGTGCATTTGGTTCCTTCCTTCCAGTCTGCCATGAGCAAAAAATCCTTTACACCAGCTGCTTCTCAAGCTCAGACAGCCAGACATTTATCCCTCATTTTAAGAGCTTTTGAGGCACCTGTGTCTATTTTTGCAGCACATCCTTCAGCTGAGGAACAAGCCCAGGAGAAAGCTGGTGAGGTGAGAGAGGAGTGCTCCATACTCCAGAGCTGCCCTGACCTGCCACACACATCCTCCTCCTCCTCCTCCTCCTGATGCACAGGAGGGACTCTCCAGGGCTGCATCTGTGCAGCTCTCCTGTGATTTATTAAAAAATATGGATATTGATCTAGTACTGATATCCAACTGTGACAGACAAAAACTCTCTAACAGTTTAAAGTTAGAAAGTGTGTGTTTATTGTGTGTGGGATCTCCCAAATCCACACTGCACCTTCCAGGTGATTACAGAGTCCTTTTATCCATACAGGTATTGAATACCCAAAATACAAATACATATTCATCATTTTGGTACATCCCATTCCCCGCTTCATATGCTAATCACTCCAAAAGCCATTCAGCATGCGTGGTTTGTTCCTTGAAATGGGTCAGTGTCCCTTCCATGGGGAGGGGTCCCAAAATGAGGAAGTCAATGAAGTCTTCCTCCTTCTGACCTTTCTACCTTTTCAATGCCAATCTGACAAATGAACTCTTGGTAGAACTCCCATTCCTTGTCTTCAGTTGGTTTCAGAACAGAGGAGGCCCACAATTGTCTTATGTTCCTAAAAGCTATTTGTCAGTTTGTGTATTCTTCATTATAAACCCAGCTAATTAAACATTGTGCTGACAAGCAATCAATTATTAGTTAAGTACTAACTCCTAACTTCATCAAGCCTACTCATTTATTATTATTTTAATTAACTCTAGTAAGGCTTATTTCTAACTAAAATCTTAGTTCCTCTAAAATCTCTAAATTCCTTAAAGTTTACATTTCAACTGGGGTTTCAGTTTGTTCTTGGGGAAGGAGCTGTAGAATCACCAAACCTCTCCTTTCACAAAGGGCTCAGAGGAGACTCAGCCCATGGAGCTCAGAGATGCCCTGCTCACCCTGCAGCTTTTTTTTTGCTTTTCTGAAAGTCAGCTGTGTGTTTCTATAGGAAAATCACATCTACAGCACACTTGGAGCTGCTCACTCACTTGTCCATGTGCTTTGGTCATCCCGCATTCCCACAGGAGCAGCAAAAAATTCCACTGGCATGGAGGAACCCACAGGGCTGAGACCATAAAACTCTGGAATCACAGAATATCCTGAGTGGGAAGGGTCCCACAGGGATCCTCCAGCACAGACCCCCCAACAGTCCCACCCTGGGCATCCCTGAGATCATTGTCCAAACCCTCCTGGAGCTCTGCCAGCCTCGGGGTTGTGCCCATTCCCTGGGAAGCTGGGCTCCCCCAGCTCCTTCCCCCAGAAGGAGCTTTCCCAAAATCCAGCCTGACCCTGCCCTGGCCCAGCTCCAGCCCTTCCCTGGGTCCTGTCAGTGAATTGCAGGCTGTGCCTCTGTGGCACTGCACGAGAGGAAACCCAAATCCCCCAGGGCACAGCCGTGCCAGCTGACTCCAGCTCCAGCTGGACATCAGGAGGAACTTCTTCCCAGAGAGGGTGGTCAGGCACTGGAGGGGGCTGCCCAGAGAGGTTTGGAGTCCCCATTCCTGCAGGTGTCCAAGGAAAGCCTGGAAGTGGCACTCAGGGCTCTGGGCTGGTGGCAAGGCAGGGATGGGTCACAGGATGGACTCGATGATCTCAGAGCTCTTCCCAAGCTAACCTGAGATTCTGTGAATGGGAGAAGACAACACAAACACCTTCTCCAGTTTTCCAGAGTACTTTTTTTGGCAGACAGACCTCCTAAACTCACATGGCATTCATCATCTTGGGTGAGTCAGGTTTCTTGTATGTTAAACAAAGGTATTTTAGACTAAAAAAACAACTCGTAGGAATGTGTCGGTTCCAGTTAATGCATCTGGCAGCTGCCTGGATTAAACTGTCACTTAATTTGTTATCTGTGTACAGAGATAACAGAAAGGCAAGTGACATTTAATCAGACTTGATAAGCCTATAAGGGATTAGCATGACACACTCTAAATTACAGTTTCTGTGGTTTTCAGCTCCTCAGGATCACGGAGGGCTTCAGACCCTGGTGCCAATGCCACAGCAGGGCACCTCACCCACCCAGAGCTCAGGCAGGACAGACAGGGAAGTACCTGCTTGATGCAAAAGTGAAAAACTAAAAATGTATTTAAATGGGGCTGTGGGCAGGGGGAAATGGTTCTGTAAACTTCCCAGCCTGGACATTATGGATGCAAACAACAAAAGGCACACGGTGAAGAAGCTGGATCAGTCTGTGCTGATCCAAACCTGCCTGTATTTGCTGGCCAGGCTTAAAATCACCATTACCAGTTGAGACTCCACCACCAGGCTGAGGTGAGTGCCTGCTGAAACTCCTGAGAACCCACAGTACAGAAAACAAGAATATTTGCTGTGCCTGCCTGGTCCCCACAGCCCCTGGACTCCTCCTCTCACCAAGCATCACCAGCAATGGGGCTGGAGCCCCTCTGCTCTGGGCCAGGCTGGAGAGGAGAAGCTCCAGGGAGAGCTCAGAGCCCCTGCCAGGGCCTAAAGGGGCTCCAGGAGAGCTGGAGAGGGACTGGGGACAAGGGATGGAGGGACAGGACACAGGGAATGGCTCCCACTGCCAGAGGGCAGGGATGGATGGGATATTGGGCAGGAATTTTTCCCTGGGAGGGTGGGCAGGCCCTGGCACAGGGTGCCCAGAGCAGCTGTGGCTGCCCCTGGATCCCTGGCAGTGCCCAAGGCCAGGCTGGACAGGGCTTGGAGCAGCCTGGGATTGTTTTCTTCATTTCTTCATTGGGCTAAACCCAGGACCTTACCAGGGCAGCTGGGAAAACCACCAGCACTGTGGTGCTTTAGATCCATGCAGTCAATGTGAGCAGTTCTGAGCTCACAGATTTGGGGGTTTCAGCTGAAGCCTGAGCACAGCAGCTCCCAGCACACTCCTGCTGGCACAACCCCAAACAGGAACACTCCACCAAAAACACCAAGCTCAACCCACCAGACAGAAGCCACAGTCCTGCTTTTGGCCAGCAAGGAACACTTGGAATAAAGGTTTTGCTTCCTGTGTGTGTCTGTGGCTGGTTACAAACCCTCCTTGGAGCTGAAACAGAGAGCATTAAAGAGGGAAAGAGGATGAGGAGGTTTAAGTAGCTGACTTAAATCCTGCTGGAAAGTGAGAGGTTTAAACTGCTTGAAGCCAGCCAGGCTGCCTGGAGCTGAGCACAGACACAGCAGGAGCAGAGCTGGGGGTGCCATCTGCCAGGGGGGCTCTGGTCACCCCTGGGGCAGGACACGGCCCAGGCCGAGGGATTCCTCCTGGAAAAGGACATGGAGCAGATGGGGACAAGGAGGGGAGGTCACCTGGCACCTCAACAACACAACAAGGACTCCTGGCAGCATCCCCACTCCCCCGTCCCCAGTGTCCTCTGCACCCTCCAGGCTGCTTCACCTCCAAAACCCAAGGATTTGGCTGCAGAAGCCCTCAGAGCCCACCCTGCAATGGCCCCTCACAGCACAAAGAGAGTTTCCTTGCTTTGAGGCACTGAACTCAGCCCAGCAAATGACCCCAGCAGTGACAACTCCACATTCCAATCCACACACAAAGGCTTGGCAGTGGAAGTTTCCCACGGAGGTGAAGGATTCCCCAGCTGTGAATTCCCTGTTTAGAAAAGGAAAAGGAAGCTCCGGGCCTCTCCTCTTTATCCTTATGGATGCTCCATGTCTCCTCCAGATGGATCCAGCAGGACAGAACATCCACTGTGCTTGTTTTAGGTGTGATCCCTGGGGGGATTCAGGGCTGTGCTGGGCAGCCAACACCCCCTGCAACCCCTGAGCCTGCCAGCAGCTTTGCCTCATACCCTGGCAGAGCTCAGGGCTGAACCCGATCCCAAAAAGACATTCTTTTGAGGATGGAGGGGAGGTGGGAGATTTCTAGTGGCCACAGCAGCCAGGCACCCCCCAAGAAGAGCTGGTGGAGCTCAGAGCATCAAATCATGGGGTGTCTCCCAGGGATGGTGCTTCCATGTGCTGCCCTGGAACAAAATCAGCTCTCAGGGCTGCTTTAATCTGCACAGAGTCTGGAAGCGAATCTAAAGGAGACAAAGAGGAGGAATTAATACTGACAGATTCCTGATAAAGACCCCCAAATACCCAAGCAAATGTGGAGGGAAAATGAAAAGGAAAAGAGAAAAAGGTCCTGGTGTCCTGCTTGGCTGAGACAGGACGTGAAAATCCAAGTACTTCTCATGTAACTTTAATTGCTCTCCTCTGACTGCCAGAAGCCCAGATCTGCTCTGAACA